CTGTCCCTAGAACCCTGACGGAGTGAATGCTGAGGGCAGACACATTAACTATCAGAGAGTCTCAGAGCCTCCACTGCCCCCTAGAATTCTGATGACAGTCCTAGGTTGGCCCAGTAGCAATGGAAAATCACTTCGGGAAACTCCCTGCTGACTCTACCCAGGACACACAGATGCCGGGCTAGGATTGGGGTCTGGGGTTAATCCTATCTGTCATAACACCATGCAGGTTTAACTTGGCCTGCCAAGATGTCTCAAGAACAATGGTCAGCAGAAAGGGCACCCAGCAACCAGCTCTAGCCAATCAAATGATGACACCCCAACCAGCTACCCTTCGTGGGTTTTTGTGCTTAAAAACCCTGCCCTAAGAACGATGGAGCGAGTCCCAACCTCCCTGGGTTGGCTCCACTTCCCCTCCTATTCCCTGCTGATAGGCTCTGCTCCTTAGCTTGTTGCGTCCACTGGGTTTCTTGAGCGACTGCGACCTAACACCTGTCTGTATCCCAGGAGCTTCGAGAAGTTATGTTCTCATCTATTGACTTCAGCCTGTGGACCATGTGAATATTTTATTATCATTTAAATGAGTGTGTCACTGGGAGCTTGCAGGTGATCCTATGTCTTTCACTAGGCCTGCTGAGAGAAATCTGTGTTTTATTGAGAAAAATCTGTTTTTACAAGCCCACTCTAAAGTTTTTCCAGAATGCTAAAGGCTGAAATATACCTGCACTTCTATTAATATAAAATTATTCCTGATCACTGGACATCATAGAACACAGGGCTTGACTTTCCCTACTGTGTATTCTGGAGAGGCTGACATCTGAAATACTTATATTTGCATATTTGCACTTCGCACAGACCAGAACTCTTTCTGGCAGCGAAAAGAAGTACGGTAATTATGCACCCCATGATTGATTGAAAGTGTTTACACGTTAGACCCTGGATGTGTGGATAGAGACAGACACCTGGTGAGCTGTAGAAACCAGCTGGGGTCTCAGAGCTTTGGGCCATGACCAAGAGGGGGCACTGGTACACCACCCTGGAGCTTCTAAATAGTTGTTCAGTGAGGATCATTCAGTCAAAGGGATCTGGGCCTTGGGGCTGGGCACTGTGCTCACTGACCTGAAATCAGCAGCTGTGTCCTTCCAGGCCTGGCAGAGTCTCCTGAGCTGAGACCTTTGTGTGGTCTCAGCAGGTGCTTCCTTCAGGGCTCTTGCCAGGGATGAAGCCAGCCCCCATCCTCTGTCTGGGGTGTGAGCTGAGCACCAGCACCAGGGCTGAGGAAGGGGCTGGGCAGTCCATGATGGACACACATTTGCATGGCCAGCCCCTCCCCTGGCAGAGGGTGGGGAGAAAAGGAGCCCCACTGTGGGCTCAGGGGCTGTGTGCACCATGGCTGGACTCCTCTGCTCCTGGTGCTCCTCTCTCACTGCACAGGTAGGGACAGGATTCTGGGTCCAGGATAGCCATTTACCTTGCATGTTCCTTCACTTGAACAGACCCTTGAGGAACTTTAACCTGAGTACCTGCTCCATCAACCATGAATGTGCCTGTTTATAGGTCCCCTCTGCCAGCCTGTGCTGACTCAGCCCCTCCCTCTCTGCATCCCTGGGAACATCAATGAGATTCCCATGCACCCTGAAAAGAGGATTTAATGTTGCCGACTACAACACAGACTGATACCAGCAGAAACCACAGAGCGCCTCCCAGCATCTCCTGTCTGACCTCCCAGATTCAGACAAGCACCAGGGCTCCTGCCCCTGCAGGTGCTTCTCTGGATCCAGAGACACCTCAGCCAGTACAGGGTACCTGCTCATCTCCGGGCTGCAACCTGAGGACAAGGCTGGCCTTGCTGTTGTGTCTATTACAGCAGCCCTGATGCTCACACTCTCTGGGAGTCTAAAGGCTCTAAAGGTTGGTGAGAATGAACACCCCTGTGCTCCCCCTGCCAGGGAACCTCAACCCTGCTCTGCTGGGATCATGTGTCCCTCACAGGTGACTTCTGTTGTCACTTCTGCAGACAGGACTTGAGTTTCCTCTAAACAGCAGAGTGACTTTTCCCTCATCTCTGAATTACACTGACTGTCACCACTATGTTCCAGCTCTCCTGTCTCAGAGGCAGAGTTCTTTCAGAGAGAAACATCTCCCAGTGGAGACGCTACAGGTGCAGACAGTGGTTGGTGCCAGCCGTGCCTAGCTCTGATTCAGGGGAGACTCAGTGATGTTTCCTCTCCAAATACTTTAACTGGGGTTTGATATGAAACACCAGCATGAAAAAATGAATATCAGCGTACACCCTAGCAGTGAACCATCAACAATGAAGAATAGAACTTAAAAACTAACAATAAAAATTTTAAAACTATAGTGGCATCAAAAATGAAAAATACTTAAAGAGAAAACTAAAAAGGTGAAAGTTTTGTAGCAATGACAGATATAAACTGTTCTTGAGATACATGAAGAAGACTGAAATGAATGAGCGCACATTTAGTTTATTGTCAGACACACCATATAAATCATCCCCATACGAACGTGTACATTCTTGGAGATGATTTGAGTGACTTCCACTTGTAATGAATGGCCAGGTGGGAAATCTCAGTGAAGAAGTGGAAACTGACAAAATCATAGGGCCCTGGGAAAACACTGCTCCATGTCCACGTGACCTGCCTGCATCTGAGGGAGGAGAGGCATATGGAGTTGGCTTGATATCAGAAGACCCAATCAGGGGGTCAAAACAGAGCTTATCCCACTCTCTGAGTGCCAGAGGTCAAGGCTGCCTGAGCACCCCGGGCCCCAGGGAAACAGTACTGAGCGGTAAATGCCAGGTGAGGGCAAAGGTGTGGGAGAACTCCAGGCACAGCGCAGCCAGGATCCCTGGCTGGCTACCTGGGCCTTTGGGTGTAAGGTCATGGACAGGAGGGTTGGTGTAGGGGAACAGAGTGATGGGGCAGCAGGTGAGGGTGCTACCTAATTTGTTCCTGTGTCACACCCCGAGGGAAGCTCCTAATGAGCCCAGATTTGAGGTCACCTTCTCCTGCCCAGGGGTGCACAGACCCACTGCAGGTGCCATGGGAATGGTCCCCAGGGTCCCCAGGTAGGGCCCGAGCTTTCCTACCTGAGACAACACAAATAACCTTCCAGAGGTTCCAGCTTGCCAGTCCTGATCTAGTTCTGTCACCAGATCCAATATGATCACCTCTGGGCTCCAGTCTGGGGCTCAGGCTGAAGCTCATCCTTACAGAAGTAGACACAACCCCAATGCCACAGACAACTCCTGCTCATGGGGACACGTGATCAAACCTGTCCCCTCCTCTCCTGTCTGACCCATCACTGCCCTGTCCCTGCCCCTGAACCAACACCAGCTCAATTTGGGGCTTGTGCTGTCCCTTGTGCTTCTAAAGCCGGGGGTCTGTCCCTCGACTCCATCCATCCTTAGAAAGTAAATGGAAACATCTGCTTTGGGGTCACTGGTCTCCCAAAAGAAACATAATTTTTTTGTAACAAGCAGCAGAATTCTGGCTCAGCAGTTGAATTGGGAGGAGGACAGAAGTGCATCCTGTGTGACTGAGAGAACCAGTGACCAGGGCCTGGTGTGTCTCCTGGTGCCAGCCTGGGCTCCCCTGATAACTCCCTGAGCTGGGACTTACAGAAGCTGAGTCTGCCTGTCCCCTGAGATCAGAGCTCTGCAGGGCCCCTGCATCCCTGGGACGGGGCAAAGCCTGCAATTGAGGAGAGGCTCTCAAACCATCGAGGGCTCACTATCCCAGCTCAGCCTCAGAACTACCAGTGCGTTTCCCTCTCTAGTACTTTTGGTGGAGGATGTTGGATAAAGGTCAATTCATTTGGGTATAGATGCTGTAACTCCAGCGTCATTTGAAAACAAAGACTTGATTATCTGTTTTGTAATAGCTTTTGCACTGAAGAAAACAGTAATCAGGCTCTAATATCTGAAATATATTAGTCAGTCACAAGAAAATAAGACATCACCAGGCTGACAGAGGAGGGCCAATAATGACCCAGAGCAGTATCGAAGAGCAAACACACGATCCCATATAACAATTGACCCTCTCCACAGCCACAACAGGTACATAAGTTAACCTGTAAGAATAAGCAGTGCACAGGTGTTCCCAGGTGGCCCTGAAATATCTAGTAACAAGTTATGTGCTACATGGTCTGTATATAACCCTTTAGAGGTCACTAGTGATGTGGAAAATCAATGTCTGGGCCCAATCAACACTGCAGGGACCTACTCAATGTACTGCCTTAGTCAGTGATACCAGATAACATCCAAGTAGAAAAGTCATCCCTCCCTGCCCCTTGCGGGAGAGACCTGAGGGGTCAGGAGGCCTGGAGAATGTGGGCTGTGAAGACAGTAGGGGGTGCTGTTGTCTGGTCCTGGGAGGACTGGGTTCTATGACAAGAGAATTAAGAAAATTCTCCTGTGAATCTTGTCCGTTTGGGCAAGCAGCATTGACACTGTGTGTGACTTTCCATCACCAGGGTCCCCAGGAGCTACATGAGCCCTGAGGTCTGACTCACACCCTTGCTTCACATCCAGCTCCCCCTTCAAGGACTTGTTCCTGCCTGATGTGCTGACAGACAGTTTCAGGTGGACAGACACACAGTAGGAGCTAATCTGTATGAAGAAGCTCAGCCCATGAGTCTTGCTGGACACAGGCCATGACACCCTTGGAAATGGGAGAGTCTCAGTTCCCAAAACAAGGCCTGAGCAGGCAGACTTCTGGGGCTTCATATCATGACCCAGATCCCTCTGCTCCTCACACTTCTCACTCCCTGATTTGGTGACAGAGGGCGACTCTGCTCATTCAGTGCCTGAGTCACTCTATCTTCACTGGTCTGTGCAAGGTCCTAGCATCTGCTTTGTTCCACATCTCCCCAGGGGACATCAGGATGACACTGTTGCACCAAGAGAGGAAGCTGATTTGCATGAAGCATCTCCTCCTCCTAATAGGTCTGGGAGGCAAGATAAGGCCCCAAGGACACCTCTTTCGACCCCAGGAGCCTGAGGAGGCCGTGTCCTGTGAGTGTCCCCACCATGGCCTGGATGGTGCTCCTGCTCGGGCTCCTTGCTTACAGCTCAGGTCAGAGGAAGAAACTGCATTTTTGGGGGACACAGCAAAGCGCGGCCTCAGGGTGATCTTGTATCTTATAGCAACATCCGTGTCTTTCCTGTTGGTTTTAGGTGTGGATTCTCACATTATGGTGACCCAGGAGCCATCACTGTCCGTGTCACCAGGAGGGACAGTCACACTCACCTGTGGGTCTAGCTCTGGGTCAGTCTCTAGCAGTAGTTACCCTAACTGGTTCCAGCAGACCCCAGGCCAGACTCCCCGTATACTCATCTACAGCACAAACAACCGGCCCTCTGGGGTCCCTGAGCGCTTCTCTGGATCCATCTCTGGGAACAAAGCCACCCTCACCATCACGGGGGCTCAGCCTGAGGACGAGGCCGAGTACTTCTGTATTCTGTGGCACAGTGACCATTACCACAGTGTCAGGTGCAGAGGAGGAAGTAAGACATAAACTCTGGGTTCAGCCATAGCTCTGCTCCTTCCCGTGTATGCAAAGTTGAACAGAAGCTCTAGAATATGTGTGTGATGAGTGAGAGGTGTGAACCTCTGGATGTCAGAATGCAAAAAACCACCCAGACAGCCTGTGCCCCACATCCTGCTGCTCATGCCCTCTGCCCCCTTGTGTGACCTCTGCCTTGAGTGTGGGCTGCCCTGTGTGGGGACTGAGACAGAGGCTGTCAGGGGACAGTGAGAAAGTGTGAGCCCACCCTCTGGAGGTCCAGTGGGAGCTTGTTTGGGCTGCACTTGGATAGGTTGTATGAGGACAAACTCTCAGTTCAAGATCTCTTCCAGACACTGTCACCCAGTTGTGGAGAGCCCAGCAACTTCCCGGAAAGAGGGACAGAGACAAGAATGAGTACTCTGGAGATGTCACTCAGCAGCTCAGTAGGGGTCTCATGATCAGAGAGCTGCAAGGGCAAGAGCCCTGTGAGGACAGTGGTGGCTCCAGGGTTGGCCTTGTCAGTGGTGAGTGGGTGGGGAGCACAGGAGTCAGGGTGTGCAACACAGTTGGGGTCCAAATGGCTGAGAATAATCTCCTTCTCATGCCATTTCCCTCATCTGGGTGTGCAAAAATTAATTTAACTCTCAGAATCCCAGCCTGCTGTGAAGAGGTGATAACAGAAAAACCAACAAGCAGAGGTCATCAAATATGCAGACTCTCAGTGATGCTGATTCTGACTGGAACATGCAAGGAAGAGAACAGAGCACACCGCCAGCTCCGTGGGGCGAGGGGAGTGGATGGAGGGATGGAGCAAAAATGAAAACAAGAGAGAATTCATGGACACCAGCAATAGTAAGATAACTGTGGGGTTGGGAGGGGTAGAAGAGGGTATGAGATGGATAAATTCTAATGGAAAGAACACAATGAAGTAAATTTTTATAAATGTAGCTCTTGGAGACATTTACAGTGTGTTAGCCCAGGACCAGGGGCCACTGCCCACTGCTTCGCTGGTTGCAAGTCTCATGGGGGCACACTAAGTTTGGGAGAAAGAGCAGAGACATAAGGATCCAGTGAGATGGCCCCAGGGATCCTTGTCCTGAGGGTTTTTATCTCAGAGGGGTCTTAACAGAATATTCATTAACTTTCCAGGTGTCGTGCAATGTATGATTCATCAAAATGCACATATACAGGGGCAGGATATTTTCTGGTGAGTTTTATTTTTAAGAACATATTGACAAGAGACCAGGACAATTGCTGATCTGCCCCAGGATAGTCTGCCACGGGTGACCCTTTTGCTCCACGTGTTCTTAGTGACGTATCATAAAAGCTGGTGATTCACTAGCTGGCTGTACTTGGTCAATCTGTTTCACCTTGTTTAATATTTTTCTCTTCAATTCCCATATTCCACTTGTCAAGCAATTTCCCTAACTCCTTACCAACCTCTCTCAGGATCCACCTCAACAGGTTACCCATCATGGTAGCTGAACAGCACCTGTGGTGTATAAAAGTCTAACCTGTGACTATGGACATGGTGCTCTGTCCTGACCTGCAGCATAGTCTGGACCCCAGCACCACAAGGGGAGCAGAGGAGAGACCACTCCTTCTGTCAAGGCTGGGGTCCACGTGGGGCGTCTCTGCCTCCATTTCCTGCAGTGCTGGCCTCTGTGGGCTCTCACGTTGCTGCAGGGAGATGAGGAATATTTATTCCAGGAACACATGAGAAATCCTAACATTTCCAAGGTCAGCTCCACTGGGACCTATACATGAAGAGAAAAGTTACCAACCTGGCAGGGACAGTTGACTTTGATTATCAAGACGTGGTGGGGCTGCTTTCACAGAATGGGGATGAGAAGTGCTGAGCTTGGCTTTGGAGAGTCTCTCCTCCCCGATTGGGATGGGAAAAGAACAGCTACAGCAACAACAAACACGTCCTCAGAAGGAAGTGGATTTGACCATTAACCCTTCGAGGAGAAGGTTCTGACCCACCCTGCGAGGTAGCCACCTGGACCTGGTGGTTAGAAAGGGCAGGGAATCAGCACCGGAGGGGGAAGGAGAGGACAAGCAGCATCCATATTGCTCGAGACACACCTAGCAGCAGATGCTACAGTTCTTGCCATGGTTGAGCCCTTGAAACCTGCCCAAAGGTCCTGCAAGAACACCTTATGAGACAGATGACAGAAACTGGTGGATCTACATGGTATAGGGGTGGATCGTAGGGGATGGCGCACTGTCCTGCTGTGATTGCTTCTTCCAAGACAGAGTGTCCTTGCCCAGTGGCAGAGGGTTGTCATCCAACTGCTCTGAGCAGACACTGCCAGAGTCTCAATTTGGATAAGAGACCCCCTATGGTCTCCCAGGGAAAGGGCACTCAGGATGTGAGCTGAGAGATGTGAAGAGTGTAATGAAATGAGACTCAGATGTTCAGGGTTAAGAATCAGTTGCAAACAGGATCCATTTGTGTTTTTTACGGACTACCGATGGGAAAGTGAGGCAGGAGACAGGCATCAGTTCACGGCAGGCCCCCAGATACCTTGAATCAGACAGTAAAGATTTTTATTTAATCATGATAGGGAGGCAACGATTTGGAGTTTTACAATCGGAGACAGGCTTCATCGTATGTATGCATTTCAACTATCACTGTGACGATAATGCCAAAAATTAAATAAAGCTGGGTGCACAGCACCGGACAGAGATGGGTGCGTGGCCCTGGTAAGTGAGACGGGACATGCACAGAATCCCTGGAGCCCTGCAGCGGGGCCAGAGGACCAGGACGCACTGTGGGAGGCCCTTCAGTCCAACACTGTCCTTCCTTTGTGAGGCTCCTGTCTCTCGGCCATCAGGGGTTGCCTCCAGATCTGAGGGGGATCCCAGGCCAAGTGGGGATTCCAGCCACGTGGGGACATTTGTGATGACAGTGACTCTGTTCCCTGTGACTTTTCCTGCTGGTGTAGAAGCTCCATGAGAACTGAGATTGTAAATGTTTTTGTGTTTTGTTATCAATGTATCTACAGATCCAGAACACAGGCTGGCATGAAGGACAAACTCAAACATGTTTGTTGAGTGAATATGTCTGGGCGCCTAAATGTGTGATCTGGGAAAAGGAGCAGATCTGAGGCCCATAGAAAGACTTCTGCTTTTGGGCATTTTGGCATTCAGGTTCTGAGTTAGTTCTAGAGGAAGTGTGAAACATTTGACCCCAGAGTCTGAAAAGCAGGAAAGTGCCATGAATGTGAGTCCTCAGCTCCTTAATTAACCATGTAGGTGAGGTACTGGCCCCAGGGCTGGGGAAGGGGACAGTGCCAGGGACCTGGGTCCAGGGCCTCAGGCAGAGAAAATGGAGAGGCTGTGATGAGTCACCAGGACCTGAGTGAAGAACCACAGTGTCAGGGAGATGGCAGGGGAGGCTGAGGACGACAGATGCCCTCCGAGAGCCAGTACAGTGCTGAGTACAGGACAGTTGGGTGAATGTGCACTGCTGTCTCCCTTCACTAAGGTCCCATAACATAATCATTTGTCCACACATGTTATCTACAGAGAACTACGTGACCCATGAAACTCTAGTATACAGCTCCACATCCCCAATCCCATAAAAACCATGATGGCAACATTCTTGAAAGAAGTGAAGATGGGTTTGTGTGCTCTGCATCCACAGAGGAGAGGCTTCTGCAAAGCGAGGTGAGGGCAAAACAGCCAGAAATGAGGAGGTGAGAATTTCTGTCACAGTCTGGATTTCATTCCTCCCAGCGTGTGCTTCCGTGATCCTCAGACCTGCATGATGAGGACCCATTGTCCATCCCTGACTTTCATCAGCTCATCAGTTCCATCGCTCAGCACTTGGGAACATGGAACACAAGTCAGTGCTGTGACAGCAGTGGATTTAATGCACAGGAGTTTCAGAACATTAAAACACATGTACATAAAAAAGAGTATATATGCATAGTATATGCATGACTAGGACAAAATGTGCAAAATAAATGTGGCAGCATATGCAGAATACTGCAAATACAGAAAAAGAAAAATCGATTCTTGATGCAAAGAAGTATATACACTGGTAAATGCTAAGCACACCAATGTGTTAGTTCTTCACAAATCCCTGGACATTCTCTGTTCCCTATCAAAGTTCTAAGGCTTTGCCCTGATTTGAATATGCCACCAGCCTCACTTTCTGGAAAATTCTTTTCACACTCGTTTGACTCTGCTCCTCTTGTGTGACCCTGTACTTCATGGAACACAGGGGTTAACTGTTTCTCCTGTGTATTCTGGGACACTGACATCTGGAATAGTGATTTGTACATGTTCTTCATTCCCGCAGACCAGAACTCTTTCTGGGAGTGAAAAGAAGTAGGGTAATTACCCACCACATGATTGATCAACAGTATCTACACATGAGACCCTGGATGTGTGGATAGAGACAGCCACCTGGTGAGCTACAGAAACCAGCTGGGCCCTCAGGGCTTTGCCCAGGATCAGCAGGTGGCAATGGTAGACCACCCAAGAACCTCTAAACACTTGCTCAGTGAGGATCATTCTCTAAAAGGAATGGGGGCCTGGGGGCTGGGCACTGTGCTTACTGATGGAGCTCACTGATGAAGATACAGTCACTGTGTCCTCAGGCCTTGTAGAGTCCCCTAAGCTGGGATTTTTGTGTGGCCTCAGCAGGTGCTTCCCCCTAGAGCTCTTCCTAGGGATAAAGCCAACCCCCATCCTCCTCAGTTGTAGCCTAGGCTGAGCTCCAGCACCAGGGCTCAGGGAGGGGCTGGACAGCCCTTGGATGGACACACATTTGCATGGGCAGCCTCTCCCCTGGCATGGGATGGGAAGAAAAGGAGGCCTGGGCAGCCCAGCCCCACTGTGGGCTCAGGGACTCTGTGCACCATGGCTGGATTCTTTTCCTCCTGGTGCTCCTCTCTCACTGCACAGGTAGGAACAGGACTCTGGGTCCAGAACAGCCATTTACCTTGCATGTTCCTTCACTTGAACAGAGCCTTGAGGAACTTTAACCTGAGTACCTGCTCCACCAACCAGTAATGTGCCTGTTTTTAGGTCCCCTCTGCCAGCCTGTGCTGACTCTGCCCCTCCCTGTCCGCATCCCCAGGAACATCACTGAGACTCCCATGCACCCTGAGAAGTGAATTTAATGTTGGCGGCTACCACACAGACTGGTACCAGCACAAGTCATGGAGCCCTTCCAAGCATCTCCTGTCCCACCTCCCGGACTCAGGCAAGCAGCAGGGCTCCTGGGCCTGCAGGAGCTTCTCTGGATCCAAAGACACCTCGGCCAGTGCAGGGCACCTGCTCATCTCTGGGCTGCAGCCTAAAGATGAGGCTGGCTTTGGTATTGAGTCCATTACAGCAGCCCTGATGCTCACACCCTGCTGAGAGTCACAGGTTGGTGAGACTGAAGGCACCTGTGCTCCCCCTGCCAGGGAACCTCACCCCTGCTCTGCTGGGATCAAGTTTCCCTCACAGGTGACATCTGTTGTCACTTCTGTAGACAGGACTTGAGTTTCCTCTAAACAGCAATCTGGCCTTCCCCTCATCTCTCATTTAGACTCACCATCACCACCATGTCTCAGCTGTTCCTGTCTCAGTGTCAGAGAGTCCTTTCCAGGAGAACCATCTCACAGGGGAGATGCTGGAGGTGCGGACACTGGTTGGGATCGGCCGTGACTGGCTCTGAGACCAGGGGAGACTCAGTGATGTTTCCTCCTAATGCTTTAATCGGGGCTTTGAAATACAAAAATAACATGCAGAACTGAATACCAATGTACACAGTAAAAATAAACCATCAATAATTAACAAGAAAACTTGTAAATTAACAAGAAAAATTTTAAATATTATAATAGCATCAGAAATAAGAAATACTTAAAAATAAAACTAAGAAACTGAAAGTTTTCTAAAAATGAGAGGTACAACTAATACCTGTTATACATGAAGAAGATCTAAATAAATGAACACACATCTACTTTATGGTCAGACACTGAACATCAATCACCCCCATACACATTTATACATTCTCAGTGAGAATTTGAGTGACATACACTTGCAATGAAAGAACAGGTAGGAAATCTCAGCAAAGAAGCAGGAACTGTAAGAACATAATAAAGTATGTTAAAGCCCTGGGAAAAAACTGCTCCATGTCGACGTGACCTGCCTGCATCTGAGGGAGGAGAGGCCTATGGAGTTGGCTTGATGTCAGGAGACCAAATCAGGGGGTCAAAGCAGAGTCTGTCCCTTCACTTTCAGTCCCTGAGTTCAAGGCTGCCTCAGCACCCTGGGCCCCAGGGACATAGTACAGGGTGGTGAGGTGTCAGGTGGGTACACCAGTGTGGGAGGAACTCCAGGCACAGAGCAGACAGGACCCTTGGCTGGGTACCTGGATCTTCAGGTGTGAGGTCATGGACAGGAGGGTTGGTGTAAGGGGAAGTTTGGGGCCTGAGACCAGGAGATGTCTCAATGGGACAGGAGAGGATGGGGATGGTCTACGTTTCCTGGGGAACTGCCAAGCCTGCTCCAGGGTAAAGTGGTCCAGGGAAGAGACACTCAGAAAGCTGACACAGCTCAGGACCATGGGGACTCCTGGAAGTGGATCCCTGAATCCTTGGGCACTAACTGGGCCCCTAGCCCTCCCACACCTCCTGCAGCTCTCCAACAGGCCAGGGTGGGGGCTGTGTGGTGGGACAGCAGGAGCGGGTGCTCCCCAATTTGTTCTTGTGTCACACCCCCTGTGAAGCTCTCAATGAGCCCAGATTTGAAGTCACCTTCTTTTGCACAGAAAGCCCCACAGTCACTGGACTGGACATGACACTTGTCCCTAAGTGTCCAGGCAATGCCCCAATATTCCTACCTGACACAGCACAGAGGGACCTTCCAGGGGATTCAGCTTAATGGTCCTGATCTAGGTCTGTCACCAGAACCTGTGTGACCACCTCTGGGCTCCAGTCTGGGGCTCAGGCTGAAGCTCATCCTTACAGAAGTAGGCACAACCCCAATGCCACAGAGAGCTCCTGCTCCATGGGGACACGTGATCAAATCTGCCCCCTCCTCTCCTGTCTGACCCATCACTGCGCTGTCCCTGCCCTTGAACCAACACCAGCTCAGTTGAAGGCTTGTGGTCTCCCTTGTGCTACTAAAGCTGGGGGGCCAGCCCTCAACTCAGTCTCCCCTGAGAAAGTAAATGGAAATATCTGCTTTGGGGTTGCTGGTCTCCCAACACAAACATAATTCTGTTCTTAGAAAAAACAAAATTCTGACTCAGTTCCTGGGTGGGGAAGAGGATAGAAGTGATCATGTGAGCCTGAGAGAACCAGGTGGCCCGTGCCCAGTGCCCTGTGTGTCTCCTGGTGCCAGCCTAGGCTCCCCTGATAACTCCCTGAGCTCTGAGTCCTTACAGAAGCTGGGTCTCCCTGTCCCCTGAGTTCAGAGCTCTGTGGGGTCTCTGCATCCCCGGGACTCGGCAAAGCCTCCCATGGAGGAGAGGCTCTCAGACCACCAAGTGCTCACCATCCCAGCTCAGCATCATGACCTCCAATGTGATTCCCGCCCAGTAGTTTGGGTGGAGGATGTTGGGTAAGTGTCAATCATTTCAACATGGATCCTGTGAACTCAAACCCATCACCTGACAGAAACTTGATTCTCTGTTTCTTATTAACCTTTCACTGAGGAAACAATTATTTAGACTCTAATGTCTGAAATGCATTAGATAGTCAAAAGAAAGTAAGGCATCACTAGGCTGACAAAGGAGGCCAAAGGTAACTCAGAGCAGTAAGGAAGAGCAGAACACACGATCCCAGACTATGATGCGTCTCGTGAACACACAGGAATCAAAGTCACAGCCTCTGCAGTGGGGGCTGGGGACTGACAGGAGACCCTTCCCACAGAAAAAGCAGGGAGATAAGTTAACCTGTAACAATGGACAGTGCACAGGTGTTCCCAGGTAGCCCTGAAATACCTAGTAACAAGCTCCATGCTACACGTCCTGTATTTAACTCTTTAGAGGTCATTAGTGATGTGGAAAATCAGTGCTTGGGCCCAATCCACACTTCAAGGACCTACTCAATGTACTGCCTTAGTCACTGACGTCAGATAACATCCAAGTGCAAAAGTCATCCCTCCCTGCCCCTTGCAGGACAGCTGGGAGGATCCAGGAGGCCTGGGGCATGTGGGCTGTGAAGACAGTAGGGGGTGCTGTGCCAGGCCTGGGAGGCTGGGTTCTGGGACAGGACAACTAGGAAAATTCTTTTCTGAATCTTGCCCACTTGGGAATGCAGCATCCACACAGTGTGTCACTTGCCATCACCAGGGTCCCCAGGAGCTACACAGTTCCTGAGGTCTGACTCACACCCTTGCTTCACATCCATCTCCCCCTTCAAGGAGTTGTTCCTGCCTGATGTGCAGACAGACAGGGTCAGGCGGACTGACTCACAGCACAAAGAAATCTGCGTGAAGAAACCCGGCTGATGAGAGGTGCAGGACACTGGACTACAGACCCTTGGGCATCAGAGAGTCTCAGCTCCTACAACCAGGCCTGAGCAGCCAGAGTGCTGGGGCTTCCCCATCATGACCCAGATCCTTCCACTCCTCACCCTCCTCACTCCCTGATTTGGTGGTGACAGAGGTCACTCTGCTCATTCAATGTCTGAGTCACTGTATCTACACTGGTGTGTGTTAGGTCCCAGCATCTGCTCTTTCCACATCACCCCAGGGGACATCAGGGTGACACTGTGGCACCAGGAGAGGAAGCTGATTTGCATGAATTATCTCCTCCTCCTTATCTGTCTGGGAGGCAAGAAAAGGCCCCAAGGCCACCTCCTTCTACCTCAGGTGCCTGAGGAAGCAGTGTCCTGTGAGTGTCCCCACCATGGCCTGGATGGTGCTCCTGCTCGGGGTCCTTGCTTACAGCTCAGGTCAGAGCAAGGGACTCTGCATTCTTGGGGGACATAACAAAGCAGGGTCTCTGGGTGACCTAGTCACCCATAACAACACCTGTGTCTTTCCTGTTGGTTTTAGGTGTGGATTCTCAGACTGTCATCACCCAGGAGCCGTCACTGTCCGTTTCTCCAGGAGGGAAGATCACACTCACCTGTGGCCTTAGTTCTGGGTCAGTCTCTATTGGTAACTACCCTGGCTGGTACCAGCAGACCCCAGGCAAGGCTCCCCGCACGCTCATCTGCAGCACAAGCAGCCGGCCCTCTGGGGTCCCTGAGCGCTTCTCTGGATCCATCTCTGAGAACAAAGCCGTCCTCACCATCACGGGGGCCCAGCCTGAGGATGAGGCCGACTATTACTGTGCTCTGGATATGGGTAGTGATACTTACACAGTGATGTGAACCCATGGGGAAGTTGAACCAAAACCTCCTTTTGTGCTCAAAATGGCTCAGCTTTAATGACAAGGAAAGAGACAGAGTGGAAATGGTAAGCACAGGAAGGGGAGGGGCTCCTGGGCCCGATACCCATGTCCAGTGGCTCCTGTCTACATGCCTTCACCAGTCTACCCCCAGGGTGTGCCCATGTGTCCCATGTGACCCTGCAGAATGGGCTTCCTCTCCTTCTCTCTCCCTAGAACCATGATGGGGTGAGGGCTCAGTGCTGACACATTAACCATCAGACAGACCCAGAGCCCTCACTGCCCCTTGTAGTCCTGCCTGTGTTCAAGGAGCTTTAACAGGATTTACTCTCATGTATTGATTTCACCCTGTAGTCCTTGTGAGGGTTTTATTAGCATTTAAGTGAGGGTGTCACTGGGAGCTTGCAGGTGATGCTGCTCCCTGACTAGGCTGCTGAGTGACTGTGTTTGTGAGCAAAACCTGTTTGAACAAGTCATTTAGACTTCTTTAGCAACAATAAAGTTTGAAAACTTCCTCTACCTTTATTATTATAAAATTATTCCTGAACACTTTTGTTTGAAATTTACTCAAGTTAAATTCCTGGTCATAATCTCTCCTAAATCAGCCTTCATAAATCCAGGAACGTTCAGAAACACGTTTGAAATCTCAGGGTATCAATGAGAACTGTGTCTTGATTTCTTTTATTCCTTGTTTTTAAAGTGAAAACTACAACCACAAGTTGCGAGGACATCCAGGGCCTATGTGAATACTGATGCTCTGAGATGACACCTGTTTAGAAGTGGCTTCCAAAACACTCCTCCCAGCCCTGGGCCGCCTCCCCTGACCCAGGGACAGGGTAGGGGCTGCAGGTGGTGTCTCCACACCCGGTTCCCCAGGGCACCTGGCACTGGGCTGTGAGGGGAGAAGCCGAGAGTGAACCTGTCCTTTTATTAACACTTCCCATCTTTGTTAAAAAGTCTTCTTAGAGAACCTTCATATCCAGGCAACACACAATAAATTTTTTTAAAAGGCATTACATCTAGTAAGTTAGGAATATATATATATATATATTTGAGTGAAATTTTTTCCATAAAAGTTATTGAATTATTGGATTCTTGGCATATTTCTATGAAAAGAAAAGGTATATATACAGGAATTTTGTGAAATTTTAATAAAGCATGAAATTTTGTTAATGTTATTTTACTTAAGTTAACTTCTTAGTTTTTAAATATAACCTTAGGTTTGCAAGATTATAATGCTAGACAAAATGTGAGTGACAGCCACAGAAAAGGTTTGTGTTATACCTTTTTTCCTGTCAGAGCAGAATTATTGTGACATTAAAAGGTTGAAATCACACACACAGGAATGAAGATACAGTCCCTTCTCTCCTGGGAGGGTGAAGTCCACGGCCGCCCTCTTGTGCAGGGCCAGGCTCCTGAGCAGTCAACCTTTCACATGTAAACCATGGCCACGTGTTCTATGCTCATTTTTATCTACTTTAAAGTAAAGAGTATATGAAAATACTAATCATGTTTACCAGTCACTTAAGTATATATAAATACTCTCTGCAGAACCAGAAAAGCACAGCCTCTCATTCATCCAAGGGCTGAAATAAACCATTGGGATTCTATTCCATGAGAATTTCAGGACTGAGTCCCTGTGAAGAGCCCCATTGTTCCCACAGACTCTTCAAGTATAAACTCCTGGCTGTGCAGCCAAAGCAACTCCATCTGGAAGCCAACCTGCCATTTTGACTCCTGCTGCACCTCCCCCACCCCCAGCAGACACACAGACTGTGCTCCTCCCTTGTTTTTAAGTGTCTCTGCACCAGATCTAGTGACAGAGCCTCGGGCACCTGAGAGTGCCCTACCCTTACTTTAAAGACCCCTTTTTTTCCCAGCTGGTAGGCTCACAGGTTCAGAGAAACAGCAGATAGTCTGGGGGTGGCAGTGGAAGGCACAGAGGAAATGCAAGTGGTCCTGTGACTGCCCAAAATGCACCTTGAGTGTGACTTCCATTAATGAACTGATGGAATGATGTCCGTCTCCTTCTCTGGTCTGTGGGGCCAAGGAAATCTTACATACACTGGACCTAGTCAATCAAAGCAGAAGTCGACTTCCAATGTGAAAACAAGAAGGCAGACTTCCTACATTCTGAAACTGGGGAACAGAGTAGTTTGGAGTCCTTGGGTCCTCATTACCTCCCTGTAGACACAGCAGATAGATACAGAGACCTCAAGATTTAAAACAACTAAGATACAAGCAAACTGATAGAAAGATAGATAGATAGATAGATAGATAGATAGATAGATAGATAGATAGATAGACAGATGGATAGAGGCTCCTAGAAGACCCTTTCTCTCTAGCTGAAGAACCTGGGAACCAGATGCCTAGCCAGAGAAAATCTTTGGGACTACACAGGCCCCATATCCTCCCACACTATCGAAGCCCTGACCTTCACCCCCATCCCCATCCAGAGACATCAGCCATAAGGGCCAGGGTGTTGGTCTCCATTCCCTCCCAGCACAAGTTGACAGTGTCCCTTTGCCACCAGGGGCAGTGTGGGTGATTCACTGGAAGGCTCACTTCCTCCCATTAGAGACTCAATAAGCCTTAGCTAGGTAGGGCCAGTTGAAGCTGGTTAGCACCCTAGCTCTCCCACTCATGACTCTCGTCACCCAGTGGTGACCTCAACTTCAACCTCACCCCTCAGCAAAAGACTGGATGATGGGGTACAGATCAGAACTAGTGTGTGCTCCTGCTCCACTTCTTATCCTGGCAGGAGCCAATGGGGAGCTAAGCCTTGACCACCCAATGGCATACAGAGCTTTGAGTATGTGATGGGAGGCAGGCCAGTGGGCCATGCAGAGGCCCCCAACCCTCCTTGTGTCAGTGCTGCCATGGAGGGACCCATTGAGGAGCTGGGAGCCCAACCCACTGAGCAGAGCAGCTCCCCTCCTCCCTGTGCTTCCCTCCCTGAGTCCACAGGGCCTGGCTGTAGGCTCGACACTCACCCTAACTTGAAGGGAAGAAACTGGTGACAGTCACTACCGCACTGACCCGAGGAAGGTGTCAGAGCACAGAGCTGGGGAGTCAGTGCTCCACCTTTGCTGGAGAAGAGAGAGCTGAACATCCACCCCCTAAACCTCTGTGCTACAGCTCAGCAGGCAGGCAGCCTGATGAAAGACAAAGGAAATGGGACACAGGGGCCCCTAATGCAATCTTCCAATATCCTGGAAATGGTAAGAGATAATACTGGTCACCTCTAGAACGAGGAAAATGAAAACTTGAACAAACCAAGAAAGTCTACTGTAACCAACACAGAAATGACTCAGATAATTAAATTATGTGACAAATTTCTTCAGCAATAGTCATAAAATCCATGTAACCAGCAAATACAGATATTCTTAGAATAAATGAAAAAGGACAGAAACTCAAATAGAAGGGGATATGGTAAAACGACACCAAGTGGAAATGTAGAACTAAAAAATACCAGAGATGAGCCCTGGCTGGCCTAGCTCAGTGGATTGAGCGCGGGCTGGGAACCAAAGTGTCCTAGGTTCGATTCCCAGCCAGGGTACCCGCCTGGGTTGCAGGCCATAACCCCCAGCAACCGCACATTGAAGTTTCTCTGTCTCTCTCTCTGTTTCCCTCCCTTCCCTCTCTAAAAATAAATTAAAAAAAAATACCACAGATGCAATTTTAAAACCAATGGAAGAATCGAGGATGCAAAAAGTTTATTGGTTATTTTGAATGTTTGTTAGTGTTTGTTGATTGATTGATTGTTGAAATGAAAACTGCGCTACAATTCCTACTGCACAGCTCCCACCACCATGAGTCATCTGTGAAGGACATCACCAGGGGGCGCTGTGGGTCTTCTCAGAGCTGCAATGCCTGAAATCAACCCAAATGGTTCTAACTCAAAGGGTCCAGTGCCCACATCCATGGCCTCAGTTAGAGGAGACAGCAGGTGCTTCCTCTCAAGGGGGAGACTCAGAGCACACAACAAGCCAGCCTCCTCCTGAGAGTAGAACTATAAACTGGGCCCAGCACCCAGAACTGGATTGTGCTGTGGGCTCCTTTTTGCATAATGCCACAGCAAACACACCCGTCACCTAGGGAGCTGAGGAGAAGATAAAGGGACAGCCAGAGAGCAGCCCCAGCCTGAGGTCAGGGGATTTGGAAAGTGTCCACCATGGCCTGGACTCTGGTCCTCCTGCTCCCCCTCCTCACCCTCTGCCCAGGTGCATATGGATATTAGCTATGAGCCTTTGGAGATCCCTCTGCTTTCCTTCCTTATTCCTGACATTGACTGTTTCTATTTCAGGTTCCAGGTCTCAGGCTGTGGTGATTCAGGAGGCCTCACCGCCTGTGTCCCTAGGGGGGACAGTTACTCTCACCTGTGCTTCCAGCACTGGAGCTGTCACCAGTGGTCACTATCCATACTGGTTCCAGCAGAAGTCTGGCCAAGTCCCCACCACACTGATTTATGATACAAGCGGTAAACTCTCCTGGACCCCTGCCCGGTTCTCAGGCTCCCTCCTTGGGGGCAAAGCTGCCCTGACTCTCTCAGGGGCCCAGCCCGAGGACGAGGCCGAGTACTACTGTGCTCTGCATATGGGTAGTAACACTTACACAGTGATGTGAACCCATGGGGAAGTGCAACAAAAACCTCTTCTTGTGCTCAGAGTGCCTCAGCTTTAGTGACAGAAGGAAAGAGAGAGAGTGGAAATGATCAGCACACCAAAGGGAGGTTCTCCAGTCACTCCTCTCACCTACCTACTCTGCGCTCCCACAGGCTGTGCCCATGTGTCCCATGTGACCTTGGTAGAATCGGCTTCCTCTCATCCCTTCTCCCTAGAACCATTATGGGGCGAGGTCTGAGTGCAGACACATTAACCATCAGAGAGACTCAGATCCCACACTACCCCTTGTAAGCCTGCTGACACACCTAGGCTGGCCGAGGAGGAATGGAAAATCACCGAGGGAAACTGCCTGCAGACCCTGCCCAGGACACACAGATGCCTGGCTAAGATTGGGGTCTGGGGTCTGCCTGTGTTCCATAACACGATGCAGCTTTAACTGGAGCCTGACAAGATGTATGAAGAACAAGGGTCAGCAGAAAGGGCACCCAGAATCCAGCTCTAGCCAATCAGATGCTGACACCCAAACCAGCAACCCTTCATGGGTTTTTTGTGTCTAAAAACCCTGCCCTAAGAACGATGGAGCAAGTCCCAACTTCCCTCAGTTGACTCCACTACCCCTCCTATTCCCTGCTGATAGACCCTGCTCCTTAGCTCGCTGCATCCACCTGGTTTCCTGAGTGACTGACACCTAACACCTGCCTGTATCCCAGGAGCTTTAAGGAATTATGGTCTCACCTATTAGTTTCAGCCTGTGGACCATGTGAATATTGTATTAGTATTTAAATGAGAGTGTCAATGGGAGCAGCAGGTGATTCTGTTTCCCTGGACTAGGCCTGCTGAGTGAGATCTGTGTGTTTGTGAGAAAAATCTGTGTTTTCAC